CAGAGAGAGGGAGGTGGTGACTAGTGACAGAGGGAGGGAAGGGGTGACTAGTGGCAGAGTGAGGGAAGGGAGGGGTGACTAGTGACAGAGTAAGGGGATGACTGGTGACAGAGTGAGGAAGGGGGTGACACAATGACAGAGTGATGGAGGGGGTGACTAGTGACAGAGTGAAGGAGGTGGTAACTGTCACTAGTAACCCCATCACTCTATCACCTGTCACCCCCTCACTCTGTCACTAGTCACCCCCTCACTCTAGTGACAGAGAGAGGGAGGGTGTGACTAGTGACAGAGAGAGGGAGGGTGTGACTAGTGACAGAGTGAGGGAGGGAAGGGGTGACTAGTGAGAGTGAGGGAGGTGGTGATTAGTGACAGAGGGAGGAATGGGGTGACTACCAATGTGTCACCCCCTTCCTCACTCTGGTCACTATTCACCCCCTCTCTTACTCTGTCACCAGTCATTCCCTCACTCTGTCACCAGTCATCCCTTCCTTCCCTCACTCTGCCACTATTCATCCCTTCCCTCACTCTGTCACCAGTCATCCCCTCACTCTGTCACTGTGAAGGAAGGAAGGGGTGACTGGTGACAGAGTGAGGGAATGACTGGTGACAGAGTGAGAGAGGGGGTGACTAGTGACAGAGTGAGGAAGGGGGTGACAGTGATAGTCACCCCATTCCTCCCTCTGTCACTAATCACCACCTCCCTCACTCTCACTAGTCACCCCTTCCCTCCCTCACTCTGTCACTAGTCACACCCTCCCTCTCTCTGTCACTAGTCACACCCTTACTCACTGTCACTAGTCACACCCTTACTCACTGTCACTAGTCACACCCTCCCTCTCTCTGTCACTAGAGTGAGGGGGTGACTAGTGACAGAGTGAGGGGGTGACAGGTGACAGAGTGAGGGAAGGGGTGACTAGTGACAGAGGGAAGGAAGGGGTGACTAGTGACAGAGTGAGGGAGGGAGTGGGTGACACAGTGAGGGAGGTGGTGACTAGTGACAGAGTGAGGGAGGTGGTGACTGTCACTAGTCACCCCATCCCTCTCTCTGTCACTAGTCACTCCCTCCCTAACTCTGTCACTGTGTCACCCGCTTCCTCACTCTGTCACTAGTCACTCCCTCCCTAACTCTGTCACTGTGAAGGAAGGAAGGGGTGACTGGTGATAGAGTTAGGGAGGGAGTGACTAGTGACAGAGTGAGGGAGGGATGACTAGTGACAGAGTGAGGGAGCGGGTGACACAGTGACAGAGTTAGGGAGGGAGTGACTAGTGACAGAGAGAGGGATGGGGTGACTAGTGACAGTCACCCCCTCCCTCCCTCTGTCACTAGTCACTCCCTCCCTCTGTTACTAGTCACTCCCTCACTCTGTCACTCTGTCACCAGTCATCCCCTCACTCTGTCACCAGTCACCCCTTCCCTCCCTCACTCTGCCACTAGTCATCTTTTCCCTCCCTCACTCTGCCACTAGTCACCCATTCCCTAACTCTGTCACTAGTCACCCCCTCTCCCTCCCTATGTCACTAGTCACCCCCACTCACTGTGTCTCCCCCTCACTCTGCCACCACTCAACCCCTCCCTCCCTCCCTCACTCTGACACCAGGTACCCCCTCACTCTGCCACCTGTCACAACCTCCCACACTCTTCCACCTGTCACCTTCTCCCTCACACACTGTCACCTGTCACATATGTATTCACACAGACACTATATACAAAAAAAGCACATGTAGTAATCCCGACATGCACAAGTGCATTCACACAGACTCAAATACAAACATGCATTGATACACAGGTCTTCACAATATACACATCCAAAGGAATGCTGTATTATGAGTTATATTTAACATTTATTTAATGCACATATATTTGGCCTTCAAAGGGCCTGGGATCTAATTTTGCCCGGGGGCCCCAAAGGCTCTCAGTCCGCCCCTGTAGATATGTCACCAGCAGCTGAAGTTGGGGCAAACAGATCAATTCCCTCTTCTCCCTGCCTACTGGGAACTACAAGAATATCATCTTATATTATGTTGTCAATTATTGTACTGCTGCTGCTATGAGAGGTGGTGGCAGTAGCAGGGTTAGTAGTGGTGGTGGCACGAGTAGCACTAGAATTTATAACGCTAATATCTTATATAATATCTTAGGATGCCTAAATGGATGAGCAGTGGTAACAGGCTGTGTTCAAATTGCCCAGCTGTTGGAAAACCTAGCAGTGCAGCTGGCGGTAGTGGAGGTACTACTGTCACCACTAGCAATGCTGGTGGTTGTGAGGGGAGTAAACAGCCGTCTACGAGATTTGGAAGTTGGCTGCTTTGCAGACCCAGGAGACCTATAAACCCTGTTACTAGAAAGCAACTAGTGCTACTTTTTGGTGCCAAATAGCTGGAGATTGGGACCTGCAGCTTCCCTCCCTGCCCTCTTCAGTTTCATGGGTGGGCTAACTGGGCATGAACTCTTTCTAGTGAAACTGATGGCTTTGGTTCCAGGAATTGGAAGCACTAGTAGCTGCTGCTGTTTAATTTGCCTCTGTTTCAGGTGAGTTGAAGAGGAAGCAAGTGTACCACTACCTGCATCTTAACACTATTACTGGCGGAGGAGCTAGTAGCGACATGACGGCTACCAGTTTGCTCAGTCACTTTTTGTTTGAGGGGAGAATGTGAGGACTCGGAGGACAATGATGATCCATTATGGTTACTTTTGTGTTATGACATTTTTATTTAAATGAAATCACAGAAAACTAAAAAGCACAAAATTAATCACTGTAGCAAAGTCACAGTGCAGCAGAGAGACATCTTGGCAATCAATCAGGCTACTTGGCAACAGCTAAAAAATACAACATTATTCACTGCAGTAAAGTGCAGCAGAGAAACAACCTGGCAATCAGTCTATCTGGCTTGCCCAGCCACACACTCTATCACCCCCTCTTCAAAAAAAAGAAAAAAGAAAAACAGAATGCAGATTGCAGATTGCAGAAGAATAAAAAGGCAAATCTCACTCTCCTCCTTCCTTCTCTCTCTCTCTCTCTCTCTCTCTCTCTCTCTCTCTCTCCCTGGAACACACACTTAAAAGCAATGTGGCTCCCCAAGTCTGCAACAAGTAAAGTAAATGGAATGTTGTTTTCCTCTGTCAGTCTCTATGTGCTATCAAAACTAATCTGCCGTCTGGTCAAGCTTGATTTATTACTATCCCACCTCAATGTGCCTTCATTGGCCAAATGTCAGTGACAAAATAACCATTAATTAATCATCCTCTAACATCAATCACAAAAATGAGATCATTTCATTGGACAGGGAATAGTGAAACCTGATTGGGCAAGCAAGCATTACATTGCACAACAGGTATTAGCTTATTGGTCAAGATTTCTGTCATCATTCAGATAATTTGTCTCCCTCTCTCTTGCTTTGCCACTTTTCTGGAATTCCGAAGCACTTCGGAACTTCTGCAATTCGATTCGGCATTTCCGAACTACCGAACGTCGGCACTTTGGAATTTGGTCAATTTGGCACTTCGGTTTGGCACTTCCACACTACCGAACATCGGCACTTCGGAACTTTGACATTACAGACATTCATAAGCATCTAAATGTCCGAATTTTACAAAATTCATCCTGAATGTACATTCCAAACTAAACAAATTACACATGTCTAGTATATTCGAAGCAAGGTCTTGTTATCAGTGGGGTACCTCATGGATCTGTACTTGGACCCATCCTCTTTAATATTTTTATTAGTGATATTGCAGAAGGTCTTGATGGTTATTTATGTCCTTTTGCTGACGATACAAAGATATGTAACAGGGTTGATGTTTCAGGAGGGATAAGCCAATTGACAAATTATTAAGGTAAACTAGAAAAATGGTCACATCTGTGGTAGCTGACATTTAATGTCATTTAATGTTAATCTCTTTATCCCTCTGCTTACTTGTCCCTGCTGACACCATTTCTTTTTTAAATTCAACTCCCCCAGCCTACTTACCTTTAGGAATGCTGGGGGGTTCTCCCTTTCCCTGGGGGTCCAGTGGCTGCCGGGCTGCCGGACGGGCGGCGCTGGCAAGGGAGCACTTTCCCCTGAGCTGTCTGCTCAGCTCTCTCGCGCACCGCAGAGTGATGCTGGGAGCCAGAATATGAAGTCAATTGGCAATCGCTAACTCTGCCTCTCTCTCCTTTGGTGGTCTTCAATTTTCCCACAACCCAAGCTAATATTGATTTCCAACTTCTATCTTCTTTCTCCTGTCCCTCACTGGCTATCTCCTCATATAACACTACCCTCACCTCTTCCCTGGACGCTGGAGCCCCGCTCCAAACATGCACATTGAGGAGAACATACCCCACCCACACTAAATTAGCACGCTACCTGCAGAGATGTTCCCGTTCTGCTGAACGCTGCTGGAGGAAGTCACGCACTCAGTCGGACTTCCTCCACTACAAATTCATGTTGCACTCATACAGCACAGCCCTTGCCCTTGCCAAACAGTCATACTTTTCCTCCCTTATTAGCACATGCTCCCACAATCCCAGGCATCTTTTTAATACCTTTAACTCCCTTGTTTGCCCTGCTGTAGCCACCCCCCCAAACTAACCTTACTGCTGATAGCTTTGCATGCTACTTTACCGACAAGATTGAACAGCTAAGGAAAGAATTCTCACCACCTTGCCCCTCTACTTCTCAACCACACCTGGATCATGCCTTTCCTACCATTCAGACTGTCTCCCAGGCTACTGAAAAAGAGGTGACTGCACTTCTCCTTTCCTCCTCTTTACTGAGACTATTCTTATTAAAGTCACTTACAACCTAATCACAGCTAAATCCAAAGGGCAACTAGTCCATACTAATTCTTCTTGACCTCTCTGCTGGCTTTGACACTGTTGACCATGTTCTCCTTCTCCAAACTCTTCAATCACTCGGTCTCTGTAACACTGTCCTCTCTTTGTTTTCCTCCTATCTCTCCCAATGCTCATTCAGTGTCTCCTTTTCTAATGATGCCTCCTCTCTTCGTCCTGTCTCTCTTGGAGTCTCCCAAGACTCAGTACTTGGTCCCCTTCTATTTTCTCTTTGTACTGCCTATCTTGGCAAACTCATTACCTCATTTGGATTCCACTACCACTTGTACGCTGATGACACTCAGATATACCTCTCCTCTCCAGACCTCTCCCCTGCCGTCCTACAACGTGTCACTGCTTGCATTTTTTCCATCTCTTACTAGATGTCCTCCCGATTTTTAAAACTCAATCTCTCTAAAACGGTCTTGTCTTTCCTCCTCCTAATACTAATCCCCCTCATTCGCTCTCCCTTCAAGTAAGTGGTACCCACATCAGTCCATCCTTGCAAGCGCACTGTCTTGGTGTTAAACTTGATTCTGGCCTCACATTTGAGCCTCATATCCAGCCTGTTACCAAGTCCTAGATTCCACCTTAAAAGCATCTGCATCTGCCCCTTTCTTATGCAAGATGCTACTAAGCAGCTTGTCCATGCTCTAGTAATCTCTCGCATGGATTATTTTAAGTCTCTCCTAATAGGTCTTCCCACAAGTCGCATTGCCCCGCTATAGTCTGTAATGAATACTGACTGATTTTCCTCTCCTTTCACTCCTCTCCCCTCTGTCAGTCCTTACATTGGCTTCCTGTATCCTATAGGAGTCAATTCAAGGTACTAATCCACACCTATAAAGCACAGACCAATTCTAGCCCCTCTTATATGCAGGGCCAGACTGGGGATTCCAAAGCAGCCCTGGAAAAAAAATCTATGCCAGCCCCATAAGTCATTGCGCCATATATTGTCGCATGTAATATGTAAGGCTATGTCTTGCCACCCTAGATGATTGAGATATATATATATATATGTATATATATATCTTTTTTCAATATAAAATATTGGTCCTTTCAGAGTAAAATTTTTAATTATACAGTAAGCATACTCACATGCAAACACAGACAATCTCACTGACACAAGCTGATTGATACACAGCCTCATAGACAAACAATCTCACTGATATACATAAGGTCATTAAAATAAAAACACAAGCTCACTCAGTAGCAGGCACACACACACACACACAAGCAAGCCCACTCACTAGCAGGCGCGCACACACACACACAGCTTAATGTAGTGGCTCTGGTGTCTACAGCCTGTCCCTGCAGGCTTTTCAATGTAAACACTGACTTTTTAGAGAAAAGGCAGTGTTTACATTGCTTCCTAGTAACAGACACTCAGACGGTCACTAGAGGTGCTTCCTGTGTCAGTGTGGATTGGCTGAGATCATCAAGCTTGATGATCTCAGCCGTAGAGGCAAGGCCAGTTGAGGGGAGACCAGCACGACGTTGAAAAAAAAAAAAAAGGTGAGTAAAAACACACATACACACACACATACCATGACAGACACACACCGTGACACAGACAGAAACACAGACATACCATGACAGACAGACACACCATGACACAGACAGACACACACACCATGACAGA